GGGAGGGTTAGGGGGCAGTGGGGGAGGGCCTTCCTAGGCTCTTTCCCCCTTCCAGCCTCTTGCTTTCCCTGGAGCGCGAGGAAGGACCCAGGCAAGAGCGAGAGGGGCCTGGGGGCATCAGCAGACAGGCCTTCGCCATCACCTCGTGCCCCCTGTTGACACCCACGGGGAAGCCGAGCCTCAGGGAGGTCAGATCTTGGCCAAAGACGCAGACAGGTAGTGTGAGAGCCAGGGCAGGAGCCCAGGTCTTCCCGCCACCACGTTCCCCTGCTCCCCAGTTCCAGGACACACAGAGTTCCAAGATGATGCTGGGGGCATGCCACAATGGGCCGCCCGGGTCTCTAGAGTGGAGGAATGGGGACCGGACACGGGTGCAGGGATCAGGGCGAGAGTCATGGCACGGACCCTGCCATCCACATCCCGTGGGACCACGTGGCGCCAGACCCTCCCAGCCCACCCGTCCTCCGCTGCAGGGAGCCCCAGCACCTGACGTGCCCCCGATGTCCATGGCTTTGAGGTTCCGGGCTTTGATGATGTTCACGATGATAGAGTTGGCAGAGGGGTTGTAGCAGAGAGACAAGAGCAGCTCCCCTCGGCTCCCCTGGGGGACAAGGGAGGGGTGAGGTTGGGCCGTGGGGATGGCAGTGGCGGGGAGGGATGTGGGGAGCGGCCACAGAGCTCTCTGGCTGGTCAGTGGGAGGGGTGCGGCTAGACCATGCGGAGGGTGCGGGCAGCGGCCACAGAGTTCTCTGGTTGGTCCAACTGCCACCAGGCCGCCTCTGCCCTGACCCATCCCTGTCTGCCACCTGTCACGCCGACTCCCCTCACCTGGCAGGTCTGTGTACCGTCGCCCCCTCAGGGCCCCTGTTCCCTGAACACAGCCCCAGTTCCTTTCTCCCAGACCAGGTGGGCCCCGGCTCCAAGCACCCCGCTCAGGCTGTTGGTGGGAACTCTGCTCCCCCAGGCCCGCCGTCGGCACCCCTGCCCACAGCCCTCTTGGCATGCCTGAGGCTGGGGAGGGGCCGGGACACGTTCGGCTGGCCCTGGCCCTCCCGCCAAGGCCCCGCCCACCGGGTCTTACACTCCCATCGCTGCATGGCTTCAGATCCTTCCAGAAGGTCTGCATCTGGGTCAGGTCCACCTTGTTGAGTGGGATGGACACCTCCCCGATGGGGTCGTTGCGGCTGAAGCGGTCGTAGTCCAGGACTTGGAGGTAGAGAACCCTCTGCACCACCTTCTCGTAGGGGAAACCTAGGGAGATGGGGCAGGGCAAGTGAAGGGCGGAACGTGGGGCCACACGGGGCCCGGAGGCAGGGAAGGCCTCGTGGCGGGGGGAG